ATGCCGCGACGACGGCAGCGGCGGCGGCTACTCTTCGGGCGGCGTGCCTCCCGCGAAGTTTCGTCGTGGCATTTGCGGCGACTGCGCTAATACGCTTAATTGTCACCGCATGCAGGTAGAACGGGGATCAGATTTCTTGACTAAGCCGCTGGACTATCACGTCTGCGTATCACCGTCACGCCGCTCGACTCAGAGTGGAAAGATACATAGCCGCAGAAAACTATTCGGTTGATATGATTGAATTTCAGTTACGTCAAGCGAAACCTTCTTCTGTTCTTCGGGAATCAGCGGAAAATTTTGTTGCAGCACAAGAGAAATTCCATTAGAAGGCTCCTGTTGTCTCGGAAATATATTCGGGCATCTGAATCGAACATTAATACTTTTTTGCCTACAAGTTTCATTCTTCACACGGATAAATAGAACGGTCGAATTGAAAATTGCATCATTGACAGCGTTATCAAGGTTACGGGAAGGTCATTTTGCATTTTTTAAGTGGAAACCCCTATTTTTTATTATAGCATCTTTTTCTACCGATTAATATGAACAATTTTTATCTGAAATACATTTATATTTGTTTCATATTTTCTGAGATATTTGAGGAAAACTTGATAACTTTTTCAATATTTAGTTTACGATATTCCAATAAAAATATTTGTCGAAGAAAAGTGGTACTAGAATTTTTTTATTCTATTTGGTCTTAAGAATATGCTATTACAATAGTGCCCTAACTTTTGTTAACTTGATGACTTTTAGAAATTTCAAAATCATCAAGTTAACAAAAGTTAGGACATTATTGTAACAGTATATTCTTGAGAATAAATAAAGTAAAAAATTCTACTACCATATTTTCTCTTCCAAAAAATAGTTATCGAAATACTGTTCAAATATTGAGAAAGTTACTAAGTTTCCCTTAAATGTCTCAAAAAATATTAGGCAAATAAAAAAAATTTTTCAGACAGAAGCTATTCAAATTAATTGGTAGAAAAAGATGGTATAATAAAAAATAGGAATTTCTATTTAAAAAATTCAAGGTGACATTCCCATAATTTTGATGATGTTGTTCAAGGTCATATTAATATTGTTATATGATTACTGAAAACCCTACAATTTCTTTATTTCACAAATCTTTTTCTTATCTTGCATATTTTCAAAGTTATTCATGTAGCCTGTTTTAGGTGCCTCATCCTGTATAATTTGCTACAAATTTTAGTAAATTTGAAATATATATATATATGTAACGTTAAGATGATAAATTATCCGTCAGGCTTTCCGATACGATTTGATTTCTCAAAATTCTCGGCAGTCGCGGAAAAGAATTTTAATTATTCTCTGTCGCGCCGTAGTGTTAAAAAAAAGATGAGTACGTTTAGAGAGAGAAAGCTCGCGGAAAAACACTTGCGCGGCCGGGCTCAAAATCGCATCTTTGGCAGTATCATTCAACTTCTTCAAACGAATCTTTTCGACTGCAGTAACTGAAGTTTCGTTTCTCTTTACATGTCGGATGAAGTTTCATGCTTTCTGTGAGAGTAACATACTTTGCTGCAGCAACTATATTTTCGAGACGGAAAATTTGAGTTCCTTCAATCGAAAGCAGTTGTTGATGCGAATAGTTCTTCGCTTTGCGAAATAGAATTCTCTTTTGTTGCAACCGAACCTCATGTAATAAAAAATTTCCTAACTGAAATTTAGTTGTCACTACAGAATATTTTTCTTCGTGCGCGCGTCGCGCTCGGAAGGAAATGTCTAAGAACGCACGATTAAAAATTCCGCTCTCCCCCTTTTTTCTCTCACTCGTGCTATTCTCCAAAACAGTATGTTAATCTAAGTGATTAGGCTCAACGAAAAGGAACCTTCTGGCCGGTGTTTCCTCGAGACTCACCCATTGACTCTGCTTAGCTCGAGGCTCGCTTGAATTTTTGGTTCAGGATCGATGAATTATGGCGGGAACAATATTTCGGAAAAGTCCGCCTCTCTCTCTCTCCCTCTCTCTCTCTCTCTCTCTCTCTCTCTCTTTCTCTCCGGCGAGCGCCGGAGTTGTCTATGTGTTCGGGGAGCGCGGGATTAAAAGGCGTTTTAACGAGGTCATCATCGCGCGGCACGCCCAAGTCGCAAGCACCTGCGAAGCGTGCCTCGCCTTCTGGGCGGGCCATACACAACCATTTGCAGCTGCATGAAAATTGCAAGATACGGCGAAAATTGCTCCGTGCGCCGTTCGCCCCGCATCTCGGTATTTACGAGTTTGAGACTTGTGTACCGCGCCGTGAACGAAGATCGAGGGCGGCTGAAGCGAACCCCCTAAAGATGTCGATGATCGATGCGATATTGAAGGAGAGAGAAGAAAGAGAGAGAGAGAGAGAGAAAGAGAGAGAGAAAGGAGGAGGAGGAGAGAGAGAGAGAGGGAGAGAGAGAGACATGCTTTTTTAATACGTAATCTTCTCCGAGCATTCAAGCGAAAAAATACTTGCTCCTGTGCTTTACGTTGAGATATTTACGGATGCCATCCGCTAGGAAGAGCTTTCCGGTGAACAATGAGAAAATAAAAGCCGAGTGAAACGCAGATAATCGATGAGAAGGAATTTGCTATTCGGAGAATTGCCGGGATAACTTTTAAGTCAGCGACTCCCTCGCGAGAGTTCGCGATTGCTCGGCTATATACAGATTGCGAATATAGCGTAAGAAAAGAAAGAGTGAGAAAGAGAGAGAAGGAGAAAGACAGACAGAGAGAGAGAGAGAGAGACAATCCGCCTCGTTACTCGAAACGAGGTAAAATATTCAACGCGATTGTTGCAGTCGCGGAAAGAGAGGAGTGCGCTGTAATGATACTTTATTCAGTAATCCAATGAGAGAGGAGAACATAATGGCATACGAGCAAATTTTCAACGACCGCGGTGTAACGTTGCAATCCCTGATGACATTAGCGGGCGGATGTTGCCTACGACAATACGTTACAATGATTGTCTAAATACTGTGTAACGAAATAAAACTTGTCACGTGCGATAAACTGCGAGGTTGAATTTATAATTTCAAATTTGTTGAATTTAATTACGCACAAAACGGCGTGATTAATAATAATTAGAAGGAAACAGAATTAACCGATAAAACCTGTAGCGCGGCGATAGTTTGAATATTAATATAAATACCGTCGCCTATATATTGCCGTTAATGCTGACGCTAACAACCGTGCAGCTAGATTACTGGTAGGGGATGAAAGGTTAAAGCCTGGGAACCATCAACATTGCTAATCGATAGTAATATCATATTAATGTTCAAATAGATATAGTTTAAGCTCAACGCAGGGGAAAATCTCTGGTAATAACGGCAGTTGCTAATAATAGCTAAATCGGCGACCCTTCTCTTTTTTCCTTTTTTTAACAACGGGCATCGATATAACTCGAGTAGAAAAATTAATAGGGTTCTGGTAAGGGCTTGATTATTTTTCCCTAACATTAATCGGGCCCTAGTAAGAATAGAAAGACAAGGGCCTTACAAGATGTATAAAATCTGATTTAACGAGTCCTTATAAGGCAATATTATGAGGACCTTATAAGGCAATATCAACAGGGCCTTATAAGGAAATATTTTTATCACTGCTTGAATAAAAATATTTGTTTTTTTCATTCCAAGAAATTTAGACTGTAATTTCTTTATTTCTTCATAACCTAGTTAGTACACAACAACAATTTTTTATTTTAAAAATACAGCATATTTTACAATAAAATATAGCATTTTTTACACATAAAGATCCTGCTACTGTTTTTATTAAAGTTTGCTGCATTTCAAAACGAAGGCAATACTAGAAAAATCCTTGGAAGAGATTAATAAATATGGCAACTAATGAAACTAATAACATTTGTTTTTAATTGCGGTATAATTAAAAAATCTTTAAAAGAACTAAATAGAGTGTACCGCTATTACTAAAACAATACTAAACTGTGACAATTTTATTACACGCTTCAGATCTTATTAATTTTCTATAACAAAACTTGTTTTTGTATATCTAAAGCATCTCTTAAAAGATCCTTCTAAGGCCCACATCAGTTTTCAATGTTAAAGCATTATTTCGTAAAATCGAAGGCGTCCCTAAAAAATCCTTCTAAGGTCCTTCTCAGTTTTTCCTATTAAAGCTTTATTTCGTAAAATCTAAGGTATCCCTAAAAGATCCATCTCGGAGCCTGATATGGTAATAATGAGGCACCCCTTTTTAAGACATCCTACTTTCAGCCTCATCGGGGTCTTATGCTTCATGAGAATGGCCCTAACCATTTTTTGCTCGGGAAGGAATGTATCACATATTTGCGGTTTTTTGCCTCTTTTTCTAGAAATGTCTCTGGAAATTATTTCTACCATTTTTTCACATAGTTGCAACCAATCGAGAGAATTAAAATTTCCATTATCAATGGGACAAAGGCGGGCATTAACCAACGCGTATGAAACAATAATAACGAGAGCAGCGAACATTACTACGAGTAGCATAAAGCGCAATTATCAGGCGCATCAAAATGACAATGCTGTATCGAAGAATCGAGGCGTCACGCTCGCGGAAAAAAAAACTAAAACGAAAAATTTCGTTGAGTCGGACCCGATAAATTTTCCGGCCACGTCGATGGCCGCGGGCGCGCACGTTGGCTGGTTAAATATCGCGAACGACATCGAGGCAAACTCGGCAACTGCCGATAACGGCCTGTTTGTATAGTCGCGCGTTTATCCCGCCAACAACCTTAATATCAGTGTAACGCTAGAACAGATCGCGCGCACGCGCACAGGAGTCATCGATGACAATGCTCGCGCTAGTAATAGAAATGCCATCGCAGGACGCCGGGCGTTCTTACAATCAGCCGTCGACGACGCGACGCTGGAACTATGACGGCGCGCACGGGAGGGGCGGCACGCGGGGGTGAGAGTCGGCACGGCTGGGCATCGCAGGGGGTTGGTGGTGGTAAGAGTTGACGTCGGTGGTCGGGGGCTGATATCTAGCTAAGCGCTGGCGCAGTTGGGTCGCGGTCTCCACCACGGCAGCATTTCGCCTACCGGTCTCTTTACGCACCTATCTCTCCCTCTCGCTCCCTACCCCCTTATCGCCCCCTGCCGCCCCGCTCGACCCGTTTTCGCACCCCTCCTCCTCATTCCCTCCCGCCCCCAATCTGTCCCTCCGCGGCCGGTGCATGCACGACACCGGAGGTGCATGCACCCGCTACCTGCACCCTCCTCCTCCCCCCGCGCCGCCAGCTCCGCGCGAGCGTGTGGACGAAAGTGTCGGCGAGGCGGCGCGTTAGTGTGCGTGCGGTATGATGAATGAACGACATTTTAGAGGGACGGAAGTAGCGCGCGGTCCCGCGTAGCCCTTTCACACGATCGTACGTCACGGACCACGCCGACACACGCCGGATCCTCGCGAGAAGATGCGCTTCGCGCGAGAGCCGCAGTCGTCCACGTGGAAGTACGGAGCAGCTGCGCTGGAAGGATTTAGTGACGCGCCAGTTCTCTCTCTCTGTGATTACGCGGGGCCCCCGCCTGCCCCGCGCTCGTTCATTCGTGACGGCTGATAGGGGCGAGAAGGTGCGCTGCTCGTGACGACTGTTCTCTATCGCCACGAGATGTTCCCTTTCGCCAGCGGACGCTGCTGCTACGACGACGACGACGACGAAGAAGCAGTGCACCGAGCGATTCCCAGCGTTACGTCGAGCGAACAGCCGCGAACGGCCGCGTGTCGAGTCGACGAGCCCGCCAGGCTGCGCGTTAACCTGGGATTTCTTATCAATCGCGAGTGCCAGTCGTGTCGCGCCGGGTGCACGTGGGAGTTCTTCACGCGCAGGCAGCACGGGGATAATGAACCGTAGAAGCAGCGGACCGCACGTGGTCGCTTCGGCGTGCTCGATGTCCCGTGAATATCTCGTGACGACTGCTGTGTGCGAGCCGCCGTTCTGAGACCCTGCGATCTGTTCCCAGGTAATTTCGCGATCTCCGGATGTGCGATCTTGTCCCTCACCTACGTTATTCTCGAAAGTAATTTTCTTTTTAATATTTAGTAGCAAGATGTTCAGAAAACAAAAACGTTCCAGACTCAAAGAGTGAATAATTTACTCATTGTACTCGATGAGCGATTTTATCCCTTACGTGCGTTTTTCTTCGAGATAACTTTTTTTATTTTTCTTTTTATTTTTATTATTTTTTTATTTCTTTTTATTTTATAAGTATATATACAAGGTGTTGGAAAGAAGCGCTCCGGACTCACAGGTTAAATATGTACTCATTGTACGAAGTAAAGAGTATTTAGCAAGCATAAATCGAAAAATCAATCACTTCAGAATTATGAATGTTGCTCGATTTGGATGAAGCGAGTTGTTTATGCGCTTTTATTGGTTATACGATTTTATAGTGTATTAGCAGACGTAGCTTATCGTGATTGTTTGATAAATATGTCATTCTTGTTTCTCGATATGGCACAATAGAGTGTATTAATTGTCAGAGAACATTTAACCCTTCGCACTCGATTATTTCCATATTTTCTTCCATCAACTCGATAATTATAAATATAATTCCTAAATTCCTAGATAAAACATAAAACAGGATCTTTATTTCCTTTAGTGTCGTCGTACTTATTATTTTATTGCTCTCTGTCTTTAAATTTTTTTATGCCAACACAGCTGGCATTCCGAGTTGCCGGAATAAATGTTTATGCCAGCTATGCCGAATACAAAGGGTTAGAGAGAATATTCGTTGAAAGACGGATTAGATGGGCTGGACCGGTTACTGCCTCTTCTCTTTTCTCCGTTGAAATCAACCGAATTTTTTTTTTATGAGAATATATGAAAGGTTGAGGAGATTTATCTTTCACCTATAAATAATATACAAGAATTACCTCAGTGAATTCAAAATGCAGCTAACCAAATCCAATAAAAAGAGAACATAGAACATTTGTTATGAATAAAGAAATAATATTTTTTACTTATCTTAAACTCTTCGTTTATTCACCGTACGCGATCGATGGAGGCAAATAAAAGCTGGCGTTACTAAAATCGAAAAACGGTTGTAACTCTGAGAAGGTCGATTTTTCTGATTCATATTTATTCCTATTCTATATAATGAATACTATCTACTCTCTAAGAGTGTCTTTTAGAGAGAATCTTTTATTTGAACATCCGGTATAATAAAAGTAGCAAATAATCGCTGGCATTAGCTATGCTTGAAAACCATATTTTTAAGCATTCCTCCACACCGAATATTACTATTGCACTTAGGGTGCTATTCAGAGACAAGACGAATTTGATTTAGTCGTAGTCTAAAAATAGTTTTAACTTTTTAACCACTGGCGTATATATACGCCCTGACATATATCCATTGATATCATCAAGAATTTCCTTCCAACATTCTTGTTTAGACTTATTCGTGTTCGTGTTTGTATATCTTGTCTCCATAAAGTTCTTTCTTTTTAATGTCAAATTCGTCAGGAAATTCTTTTTTTGTAGTCCGATTAGCCTTTCTACTTTGCTTTATTTTATTTCACGTGTCCATTGAGAATAATTTTATTGTCACAAATTAAGAAAAAAAGAGTTTCAAAGAGTAAACAAAAACTTCAAAAGTCGCGCTTTGACAATTCTCTAATGATCGCATTTCATTGGTTACGAAATGATGTCTAAAGATAAATTTAAGGCGATTAAATATAAAGTCTAGTAGTTAATTCTTTCCGATTTCCGACAATTTTCAATCTTTATTTAAAAATAAATAGAACAAGATTAATCAATTAAATATTCTCCATTGCTTGTATCAATGACCTTATGCTATTTATTGGGTAGTTGCCGAATTCCACCACGATAGAAACTTGGTGACTTTGAGGCTATAAGGTCATCGATGAAATCTCGTCGTCAACTATCGGAAAATTTGTATCAGACAGTGCGTGTTGCATCGACTGTAACAAATGAAAATCTGATGGAACCAAGTCTGGAGAATACGCTGCATGTGGAAGAACTTCCCAGCCCAAATGTAAGATGCTTTCCTTTGTGGCTTTTGCTGTATGTGTTTTAGCAGCAGCGGTCGTCGTGCAGCAAGATGACTTTACGGTTGCCTTGTCTAGTAAATGGCCTTTTTTCTCAATTGCATCGTTCAAACGTATCAGTTGCTCTTGACAAATGCTCTCTGCTTTAATGGTTTTAAAAGTTCATGGTACAGCACATCCTTCTAGCCCCACCATATACAGAGAAGAACTTTTTTCCGAAACGTTCGGGTATTGCTGTCGACGTTGTCAGTTGATTAGGACCTACCCATGATTTTTTGCGTTTAGGATTTTCATACATAATCCAATTTTCGTCGCCAGTTACAATTTTGTGCAAAAAATCTTTTTTTTTGTTGTCTGGCAAGCAAGGTAATGCATATGGCGTTACGTCAATCGGCGATTTTTATTGTCAATGGTTAATTCGCGTGGGACCCATTTTCTTTCCTTCTTTCTGTATCTTTCCCATACAATGTAAACAATCGTAAATAGCTTTCTGGCTTACTTCCAGCTTTTCCGCAAGTTCTTGTTGTGTTTATGCCGTATTTTCACTTAGCAGATTTTACAACTCCTCGTCTTCAAAGTTTTTCGACCGGGACATGGTTAATCGTAAAGATCAAAATCATCACTTCGAAAACGTTCAAACCAGTTTCGACACGTGCGATCGGTCACAGCGTTTTCACTGTGAGCAGCACAAATCATTTTAGCTGCCTCAGAAACGTTTTTGTTTGAATGAAATGCGAAATGCGTCGCGTATCGAATATACTCTTTGTTGATAGCCATCGTGAACATTACTGATTATTTGAGGTTATGTGCATCAAACTCCAAACCATATGTCATTTCGACAAGTTAAACGTCAACACTTTAGAACTGCAAAACAGGAGAATATTTCAATTTCAAATTTTGCTCCGAGCTATGTAAATATTTCATCGGAAAGAATTAACTGCTAGACCTAATACACAGGATCCTCCTATGAATACCATCTGAAGGATTTAATTTCCTCAGCTCGAATACTAAATTTAATTTAATTTCGTAAAAAATGTCTCTGAACGACACGATACATCGTTAGTCCATGAACAAACTAGATTATCGGAGGACTGATTAAGCCAGAACTAGAGTGAACATGATTACAGTTTCACATACTCCGAATAGCAGCCATTATCTTTAGCCGCTGATTATTCGTTCGTACAACACGAGCAGGCATGAATAATTGCAAAACGGTAATATTACGGTACTGCATTAACGGTATATATTGCTATGTTAACTAGACTGTCTTATATCGCATCAATCTTCCAATATCTCCCCGTCGAACTCTCGGCTCGGTAGGGTTAGATTAAGCTATTTATTCAGTCTCATTGGAGCGGGATTGGTTTATGGCAGTAACTACGTCGCGCGGATGCGGACGCACTCGCTGAAATGACAAGCGAAATTAATATTCCCGGCCGTGTTGTGTACATATCAAATTAATTCTGCCGATTGTGATGATTTGCCGGGGCCGGTAACGCACACCCTGGCGAGAGTGACGACGCGAGAGCACAATCAGAACCGGATCACGTTCGTTTTCGATCGAGCGCCGCGCATCACTTTAATGCGAACTTTTAAACGAAGGATTAGCGACGGGAGGAAGGCAGGGAGGGAGGGCCACATGTCGTGCGTCTCGCGCTCGGATGCGCGTTTAGCGTCGGGCTGGTAGTTAATCCTGCCGTTGCCTCTCTCACGGGGGTGCAAATATAACGCACACTTTTCAGAACCATGTAAGTAGAAACGCGACGCGATGTGACGCGACGCTGCGCGCGCTACGGCGTTTTTAAAACGCCCGTTCCTCCTTCCACACTTTTTGCCGCGCCGCTTGAAATCGTAATCGCGCCCCGGAAGTAATTACTTTCCCGAGTAATTGCGCACACTCGTGCGTAACGCTTCGTTGCATAATTCGGGAGAGTATCAGCGGTATATCGTTGCGTATAATATGAGACGTTAACCTGATTGCACAGTAGATCATTTTCTCGCGTTAACTTTTATATTTAGCCGCGCTGGGCTCTCCCTCTCCTCCCCCTCCTCTCTCTCTCTCTCTCTCTCTCTCTCTCTCTCTCTCTCTTTCTCTCGTATAATTAACGATCTTCTTTACGCGCGCAATTCAGCTGCGCCGAGCGCAGATACGAAACATGGCTTGCTTTCATCCCGCCCTTAACCCCGGAACGAAGTTGTTTCATCGTTGCCGATCTGCCGGCGAAAATTCGCGAGTCTTTCTCCATTCTGCGCGTTCGGGCGATGTTATCGTCGCGGCTCGCTTACAAAGCTCAACTTCGCGAGACATTGCCAATGACAGATAGGAATAATACGAGCCAGCGACTAGTGTCGGGACTGTCAGTAAGACAGCGAATTTCTTTTTATCGCCAAGCAGGAAGAAACGTCACTCTGGTCGAGCCGTTGCGACTTTGAAGAGGCGGCCGCTCGCGCGCGACGTGAAATGTACCGGAAACGATGGACCGTGAAAGCATTGGGGATGGATTTGCGGTGCGGCGGTGATGGGACCGGTCGGCGCAAACCCTTCAAAATGATCTGCATCTTCTTCCTCGCCATGCTGCTGCACGGTGAGTAAACCTTCGGGATCCAGTCCCGGACGAATGTAATTGCGACTATTCGGCGTCCGTGATGATGACCTCGCAAGCCGGATATGTCAACGAGCGACGTGAAATCAATCGTCAGTCTGTATATCATGTCTCTGCCGTGTTGACGTGGCCAGTTGACGTGGCGTTAGCGATATCTCGCCACGTGCTGCTTCGCGCTGAGAGATTCGTATAGCCAGATAACGTTTTAATTAGCTGAAAAAAAGCGCGGCATTTTCCCGGCTCGGTGACTGCATTGTTCAAAGCCGCGCTAGTCTATTCGGGAGTTGTAAAATCTTCTTCGGGATCGTAGCAGCAGAAGAAGGACGGAAACAAAGTCCTTGTTTTGAAATCGGTCCCGGAAACTTTGGTTGTAGTTATAAGGTTGGTAAGCCTTGAACTAATTAGACACGTTCCGTAATTGATTAGCTGATCACGCTTAGATGTCACAGCCATGCATTGTTTCTATTTACAAATTTAAATTTAGCTATTAATTTTGCAATTTTAGATAGAGGAATTGATGAATTTTTTATTATTTATTATTAGACGTGTGCAAAGTTTTAATCTTTTCCGAGCTTCTGAATTTTTCCATTTCATGCGGTCGCCTTGAAACTGTTGTTTAATCAACTCCGAGCTGTTCTGCAAGTTCTATTTGCGTTTGGGATAGGTTTCCATTCAACAACGCTTCCAAATTGTCGGTCTCAAGCTTTCGTAGTGTTCCAGAGCGCGGACGATCACTCACGTCAAAATCGCCATCCTTAAAGTGACGAAAGCAATATTTGCGCGTATTGTGGGACGCAATATTTTCTCCAAGAACAGAGCAAATGGGTTCACATGTTTTAGCAGTATTTTATCCTTGCCGGAATTCATATCGAGTTCAGTCTCGAATATAAAGTTTCTCATCAAGTCCCGAGAAGAAGGACGGAAACAGAACTCTCATTTTGAAATCGGTTCCGAAAACTTTGATTTTAGTTATAAAGTTGGTAAGCCTTGAACTAATTTGAATACGTTCCGTAATTGATCAGCTGATTACGCTTGGACGTCACAGCCATGCATTGTTTCTGTTTACAAACTTGAATTTAGCTATTAATTTTGCAATATTAGATGGAGGAATGGATAGATTTTTTATTACTTATTATTAGACGTGTGCAGAGTTTGTCTTTTCCAAGCTTCTGAATTTTTCCATTTCATGCGGTCGCCTTGAAACTGTTGCTTCATCAACTCCGAGCTGTTCTGCAAGTTCTACTTGCGTTTGGGATGGGTTTTTATTCAACAACGCTTCCAAGTTGTCGGCCTCAAGCCTTTCATGGTATTCCAGAGCACGGACGATCACCCACGTCATAATCGCCGTCTTTAAAGTGACGAAAGCAATACTTGCGCATATTGTGGGACGCAATATTTTCTCCAAGAACAGAACAAGTGGGTTCACATGTTTTAACAGCATTTTATCCTTGCCGGAATTCATACTCGTGCAGTCTCGAATATAAAGTTTTTCGTTACTCATTGCATCAACTGTCATTTTTAAGGTTATGTGCACCTTAAGTGGTGCACATAATCTTAAAAGACACAGAACGGCGGGAAAATATTTCAATTTAAAACAGTTGCATCAGAGAGCTAAAAAAGACTAAAACGTTTGCATATACCTAATATGCTAATATTTTGCTAATTGACCAGCCGTTAATTACGTATTTAGGTTTAGTTTAAGAGGCCTGCCAGTCTTATAATCAAAAGCAAAGCTTCTAAAACTGATATCGGAACAGGCCTAAAAGAAACGCGCGTCCAAGAGCGAAGGCGCAAGTGTGCGTGTACGCACATTCGGCCGGAGACTGACGGGGCGACTGTCCTGCGAGAGAACGGGAAAATGGATTCTGGAAACAACAATGACCTAGCGAATTCGCGAATGTTGTTGCGGCATCAGAGGGAGGAAATGCGTGCAGCGTTGTAAAAAAAAGTGTACATTCGACAGGCAGCCTCGTTCGCGATGGAGCAGCTTTCTACGGGGAGAAGCGGAGCGGAGCGAGCGAGTGAGTCCAACCAGCCGCCACCGGCCATTATCGGAATTGTCACGAGCATATTTTTCCATTTGATAAACATTGCGCCAGGCAAATACGGCGGACGTTGTTGCGCCGCGTGCGCGCAGTAATAACATTCGAAGAAATTTTTACACGTCAAGGCGCGTAACACGTTAAGGGATCCCAGCGCCATATTCGCTTTGCGTTTATTCAACGTTGCGGTGATTCGCGGTAATAACGGGATCGATGCTGCCGTTTTTGCTCGTCGTCTTTTCGCGAAAATTCACTCGTCACAAATTCGATTATTGTAACCGGATCGGGCGCTAACGGGGTGGCTAATTATTAATTGTTGCCGGTGGCCTCGAAATTTATTGTACGCGCGTGTGTGGGCTATTAATATATTCTATTATTACCGATATTCGTGCATTATATCTGTTACTATTAATTGTATTTATCCACCACGTCAAACATTCGCGGCACGAACCTTTCGAGAAATACGACTCGCGGCACGCGCGAGATCGGCCGACCTCGCGAGGTGCGCGAATCTCGCCGTCTGTGAAAACGCAGCAAGGAACAGCAAGGAGCAGCAAGCGCGAGACGTATTATTTGGTCGCGGGTCATAAACGCGGGTGCAGCAGCATCGTCGAGACATAATATCGCTGAGGATATCTCGGTTGCCGAGGACAACCTGTTCGAAGAGGAGGACGCCTTTACAGCCGTTCTCTCCAGCTTGGCTCCCGTCAGGCGGCGCGGTCGCTCGCATCGCAAAGCGGTTTCTCCCGAGAAGCCTATAAAATCTCGCGCGACTGATTCTATTCGCTGCGTCATTTGCGAGCGAGCTGCTCTTATTAGAACGTCAAGTGAATCTCGGGGAACTTCATAAAACGCGTGGGTCGAGCGTGAAATTTCCTTCGATCGCTTCGATTTCGCCGATTCTGCCTCTCCTTTCCTCGCGGAGCTTCCTATTATTTCGAGATATTGCTCGCCTCTTGGCGGGCCATTGTCTGGCCACGATTCACGTGAGAAGAAATTTCGATAAACTGATGGATTCCCTCATCCTCCCTTGTGTGTTTGTTTGTATCGGGAGGAAATGTAAGAAATACGTTAATGTATCTTCTTGATTCACACGCGCGTAGACTTTCTCTCCCCTTCTCGTTGAAACACGCAAGAAATATTCTGTTATGACGACTAGAAATTTTCTGTTACATGACGTCCAGTTGCAGGAATAGAGAATTCTATTTCGCAAAGCGACGAGCCGTTCGCGTCAACAACTGCCTTCGATTGGAGGAATTCAAATTTTCGGTTTCGAAAATATAGTCACCGCAGCAGTAATGGCTGTTCTCACAGAAGGCAAACTATATTGTATATATAAAGAGAAACGAAATCTCAGTCACCGAAAAGATTCATTTGACAAAGTTGAATGACGCGATTTTCAAGCCGGCCGCGCAATTATTTCTTCCCGCGAGATTTCTCTGCCTAAATGTACTCGTTTTTCTCAGTGCGACATCACGGCGCGACAGAAAATAATTAAAATTTTTTTTGCGACCACTATGAATTTTAAGACATCGGATCGCATTATCATTAGGAAAAGCTGACGGATAATTTACCATCTCGACGTTATATATACGAAGGTAAATTGAAACATTTCCGACCTGACTAACAAGGAACATCCACGATGTGTCTGTCTCCAATTTCGACGAAACTTGGCATATTTGTAGAGTAGCTAAAAATAAGAGATCCATATTTTTTTTATCGGAATGGCTCAGGTTTAAAGAGTGAAATCCCTTTACCGTTAACTTTTGTTCATCAAAGTTTCATCCCCTTTATGCTATCTCGATAACTATTGCAGGTAGGAAAATGCTTTTTAAACAAAAATTGTACGTCTTTTTATTCTATATAATTTTTGTTTAACAAGTTTTTTCTTATCCGCAATTATCAAAATAGTATAAAGGGGACGAAACTTTGAGGGACAGTTTCACACCTTAAATCTGAGCCATTGCCATAAAAAAATATGGATCTCTTATTTTTAGCTACTTTACAAATATGTCAAGTTTCGTCGAAATCGGAGACACACACTTCGCGGATGCTCCTTGTAAGAGGAAAATATTTCTTTGAACTAAATGAAATTTATTTCTCAACAAAGTCTCTCTTTAACTCAATACACTTGTTCCAGTGTTTTTCTAGACCTGTCATTGCCTCAGTATAATAATTTTTGTCTAAATCCGAAAAGTAGTCATTAACGGCACTTATCACTTCAGCATTCGACGAAAATTTTTTCCCAGATAGTTATTTTTTAAAATTTGGAAACAGGAAAAAGTCACACGGAGCCAAATCTGGATAGCACGGTGAATGTAGAATTAATTCGTACTTCAGTTCGCACAATTTCGTCAACGCAACTGCTGATTTGTGGGCCGGTGCATTGTCCTGATGAAAGAGAATTTTCTTCCTGACCAAATGCGAACGTTTATTCTTAATTTCCATGTCCAAACGTTGTAATAACCCAGCATAATATTCTCCGGTGATTGTTTCCCATCTTCCCAAATAGTCCACAAAAATTATCCCATGGGAATCCCAGAAAACTGTGGCCATCACCTTGCCAGCCGACGGAACTGCTTTCGCCTTCTTCGAACTCGGTTCGTCCTTTGCAGTTCATTGACTGTCCTTTCGTCTCCGGAGTATAGTAATGGACTTAAGTTGCGACGATAATAAAAGCCGTAAAAGATCCTTTTCATCGCATTCGCTTGAAATGCTCAAGACATCATCGTGGACACGGAAGATTTTGTTTGTCGTGACTGAAATTCATCAACCGAACAATTTTCTAAGAATAGACGCGTCATATTGAGAGACTACGCTCTCGCACCCCTACAGGCGCAAACACAGTGGCGGATGGCATGGAAACGGCTGTAAAGACGTTTTACACAGACAATCTCCGTGCGTATGCATGGAACGTGCCCAAGTGCGTGCGTCGAGGAT